AAGAAATACTCAAAATATACAGGGCATATATGAGGGTATAGATTTGGTTTAGACATTGCGCGCGATGTTCGTGGCATTTGACGTTACGCTTTCATAGCGCTGCGGAAAGCCTCTACAAAGTCATAGTGTTACTGGCTAGATTGGAACTCAATCGTTATGTCAAAAGAAAAAATTATATATAGACTTTACCTGTAAATAAATGAATCAACAAAAGGGCTAATTTCGTTTTGTATCTTTATCATTGATTTAATAAATCAATAAAAACAATTTAACACATTTTCGATGAAAAACAAAAGAATTTAACTCCACGAAATATGTTCATGTGCGTAATTTTAGACTCTGGAATTCCTGTGAAACTTGTAATCCATCAATTAATTACAAAGCATGCAGTTTGCTATGAAAACTGATGAAATATTTCAAATATATAAGAAAAACACATTTCTTCAAAACAATTTATTTTTATTTAATCTTTCCTGTAAAAGAGTAAGTTTCATGTTAATATACATATGAACGTTTTAATTAATAGCGTTACGGATTGATTTTTTCAGTAAAAACAATTGCTCTCGTTTTCTTGCACCTATTTAATGCAAAATCGCTAATGAAGTCACATGGATTGTTATTGTTCTGTGAGGAAAATGAAAACTCTAGACTCATTTTTAAACACTCTACACAATAAAAATGCGCAATCCCTGCTTAAAAGAGTAGGGCTTTAAAATACCTTTGATATGCACTGTAAAACTTTCCCCCCATAAAAACTAGTTATTTTCTTATCGGGACTTTCTATTCATAACCTATCCATTCATACCAAATCACCCATATTGCAATTTTTCTAACCGCCGATGGGTTAAATAGGACAGTTATTAAAATTCTAAAATGACACCAACATTACGAGTAAAATCTCAGTGAGGCACATCGGGCAGTGGTAAGTTGGATTATGTCTCTTTCTGGTTGCATTTATACAGGTGAGATTATTTCATAGACTTGCGCGCGTTTTTGTCAAACTATTGACGAGGCCGAGTTTAGGCGTTGTAGCCCTGTTCCCCAAGAGTGTCATTTTAGCTAGTTAGGAAGAAAGAGAGTGAAAAATCATGGGTTTATAATTTAAAATCTGTTTATTTGTCATTTTTGCTGTCGTTTGTTTATTGTGATTGATAGAGTTCTAAGTGATGAAAGTGAGCATTAGGTTGATTTATGTGAGAAACAGGGTAATAAGAGTTTGGTATGGCCATGCCCTGAGAATACGTGAGAGAAGAGAGGAGAAGAAGTTTGGAAGTCAATGAGAGTGAAAGTGTCTTTTGATTTTGAAATCTAGGTATTATCATAAATCTATTGCGTGTGTTACAAATATGTAAATAAACTATGTAAATGAAAACTATTTATTAACAAGTGCCAGTGACAGGGAGGACACCCGTCATATATTATTGTGGCATCACGTGGGATCATAAATATAATGAAATATATTAACTTTATTGTCTAATCTCATGAAGATGATTTCCGATCATGACAAGGAGCACACGGCGGGTGTGACCGGTCAGCGGGGGATGCTCACTCGTCCATGGCACCTGATCCCATCTATGATGTTTCGTAGGTCCGTGTTTGTTAGGCTCCTATTTTGTATTGTTCAATGGACTTTGATATTGAATGCTGTTCGTTATCTTCATATCCTTCTTCTGCACTGTTTGTGAAACCCTTCTGAAATTTTTATTCCTGTAGAGCCATTGTATGATTCTAACTTATTTGGATATATTCATATAAACAAATAGAGACGCAAGCTCTATAGGATCATGCCACAAACGAAACAAAGTTTGCTACATGTTTGTACATGGACATGGCTGGACGCCAAAAAGAAACCCTCACTAAGGAACATTTTATTCAAGGGTTAAAGTCTGAAATCAAGAGGTGTGTTATACTTGTCAATTATAAAACATTGGAGGAAGCTATCAGACACGCAGAGAGAGAGAGAGAGAGAGAGAGAGAGAGAGAGAGAGAGAGAGAGAGAGAGAGAGAGAGAGAGAGAGAGAGAGAGAGAGAGAGAGAGAAAAGCGTAATAATTTCCTTCTGAATACCATGATGGCCAGGACAAAGTTGGAAGCTACATGTACGTCGTGCAGCTCTACGAGAAAAGAGGAGCTGGGAACTCACAGCTAAGGTGTTGATGATGGCTGATGGGATAGTACAATTTACCTTGATGCGACAATACGTTCTGCCAACACAGGGACAGAATCGTTGATGAAGAGGCCGTGGATTCCGTCCAAGACCAGAACAGAAACTAAGAACAACATACGGGAGGCTTAATGGTAGCCAAAGTGTAGAACACCTCATGCTCCGGTTCAACGAGGAGAAATTTGCGGATTCCGAAAACTAAAGTCAGCATCCTACTCCTGAGGACAACCAGTGACAGAAGAAGGGCATTGAAGTTTCTTCTGTCTAACGTGTAAAAAGTGAAAAAAAAAATGTGTATGAAAATTTGCACTCAAGTTTTGTTCCGCCAAAATTGGAGGGAGTGATTGTCATTTAAATCCGAAATTTTGTTTGGCAAAATTAGAGGAAATGTAAAGAATCAATTTGGTATTCAAGGTGGTTGATAAAGGATCCAGTGGAACGATTATCAATGAAGAATTCGTGCGTGGAGACGTATTGAAACCGGCTTAGGGAGTGACATTTTTGTCGGTAACGGACGAAATAATTGGAAAATGGGACTTTAGGATAAGAATTAGTGAAAAAACTTATGTTGTGTATAATGCATTTCTTGCTCGGGAATTCTCACATAATTGTTGTTGTTTTTTTTTTTTTTTGTCTTTGATATTTTGAAAGACTGTGTATGCTATATTGATGATGCAAATGAATCTTTGTATATAAATTATGATTGTATTTCATTTAGTCCTGATGCAAGTTCACTTAGTGAGAGTGTGCAAGATGCGTGTGATTTTAAGAACTTGACTTGGGTTGAGGTAAGTGGAGTGCTGAGTCTTATGAGAACGAAATTAATTATTTCTGTGTATCGGGTGATTTAGAAACAGAACACGAGTCTAAATGTATTACCGGTACTAAGGTACTAGAGAAATTTAATAAAGTATCTGCATTCAATAATAATAAATTTGGAAGGAGAGATCGAGTTGAATATTCAGAAGATACAGCAAAGAGTTAACCAGTTAACGTGAAGCTTATAGGACGTAAAATACGAAAATGAAACAGTCGAGAACAACGTTACGATTGCCAAGGTACTGGATATGATGCGATCGAGATTCGAGTTATCAGCCTACTCATTATGTGTCGGGACGGCACACTTAGGAGGAGAGGAAAGTCACAGAGCAATCGCCCAAGTTAATTGATTGTAAATGAGATAGTTAAAAGGTCTCATAAGGTTACAGGTACGCGACACAGGCGGTGTAGCCCTGTTCCACAAAAGTGTCATTTTAGTTAGAGAGAAATTAAGCATGAATTTATAATTTGTTTGTTTGTCATTTCTGATGTCGTTTGTTTATTGTGCTCCGCTTCATAAAGTTCTAAAAGATGAAAGTTAGCACGAGGTTGACTTGTGTGAAAAACTTGGGAATAAGAGATTTGGTATGGACATGCCCTGGTAACCCGTGAGAGAAGAGAGGAGAAAGTTGGAAGTCAATGAGAGTCGAAGTGTCTTTTAATTTTAAACTTTGGATGTTATTATAAACAACGTGTATGAAAATAAATTTTGTAAATGAAAACAATCGTAATTAATAACCAGTGCAAGAGACGGAGAGGACCACCGTCACGAATTTTTTTATTGGACCCCCTGAGAATTTGTTGATAAAATGCCAAACTATCTAATTTTTCCATATCGTTTGTATTTCTGCCCTAGAGATTTCTTCTTCCGTCAAAAAGTTGAAAGTTATTGTAAAAAGTCATCAAATTGTGAAATTTCAAAAAAGTCAACCATCTAGGTTGGTCTCTGTCTTTATTACAAAAACTTATTTTTTCGATGCCCAATGTCTCAAAATTGCCATATTGCTGAATATATATACATTGGTGCAGATGAATTATCGACACAGATATTTTTTGCGGTAAAAAGATAGCAATATTTAGATTTCTAGAATGTTTCAATTGATGTTTTGTCATCAGTTTTAAGTATTATATTTATCTACATCTACAAGCATATAAGCGAATCATGCATGTGTCATTCTTCAGCGTTGTGTATTTGAGGAATGAAGCTTATTTCAACTTATGTTATACGATATAACATAACTTGGGGCAGTTTACGCTTATTTATAAACCGTGAAATAAGCTTCATTCCTTATAATTTAATTTCAATATAGACAATGAGACAATTTTTTCTATTTTTTCCTTCGGAAAAAGGCTTCAAATATCGCATATTTAAAAAGTTAACGTCAAGCGAAGTAATACGTTTTTGACGTAACTCATTGTGACATAGGCAAGTTATATGATACAAAATGGATAAAACCGTTTAACCAATCAAATGACGTGTTACAAATAAAATTAAATCATTCCTTACAAAATCGGAAAACTGTGATGTTTTTAGAGCAATTTCAGCGTTTTTCCTAATTATTGTCGTAAAATCACATTTTTAGATCAGTAGGCGTTAAAGATAATGCTAATTATATATTAAAATCCCAATATTTGGGAAAGGTGAACTATCGCACTTATTATAATCATGACTGCATGAAATTGAAAAGCTGTGCAAAGTCACTCAATTAGAGTCCTAAAATTTCACATGGCTAATTTTATTTACATGTTAAACTTCTTGTATCATAAGTAGTTATATATAAATAAATTATAATGAAGTTTAATATGTTGTGTAAAATTATTTATTGCAATTATAAATATTCGTCAAAGTAATGAGAGTACTGAAAGCCGGACTTTAATGGCTCGACTTCATGCATACTTCAAATTCCATAATATTGAAAATGCTATATTAGTTTTACTGTAAGAGTTAGTTTTCAGCATGCCAATTCGAATTCTTATGTATAGATTTATGATAAGTTTGTTATGATTGTAGAGTTCCAACCTTGCCAATCGTCAGAAGATATGAAATTTGTTTTGTGACAACTTAATACTCTGCTGACCTCTGGCCTTTGATTAATGATGACCGACATGAATACAACAGTGGACTTCTCTTGTCAGAGAACTTCATTATGGGTAAGAAATAATGATAATAAAAGAATAACTTATTAGGTGGATCAAGGGTGATTGATTGATTGTATATTGTTTAACATCCCTCTCGAGAATTTTTCACTCATATGAAGACGTCACCGTATGCCGGTGAAGGGCTTCAAATTTTGACCTTTATTCGGCACTAAGGGCCATTGAGCAATGAGGGATCTTTATCGTGCCAACGCCTACCGCTAACACGGGGCCTCGGTTTTTAAGATCTCATCCGAAGGACCGCAACTTTCACTTCAAAGTGCCGAGCGCATGGCAAAGGAACAGTGGCTACCAATTTTATCGACTAGGTCAGTCGCGGCCGAGGTACGAGCTCACGACCTCCCGATCATGGAGCGAGCGCTCTACCGACTGAGCTACCGTGAACGGTTGGATCAAGGGTGAAAAGTTAACTTAGTCAAATGAGAGAGAGAGAGAGCAACAGATTCACAAGTTGAACAACATTTAGTAGAAATGCACACAATGAACATTTAGCGATGTGATATACTTTTTATACAAAACATTTTCAAACATAAAATATGACTGAATATATATAAAATAATAAAATATAAAAGAATGAATAAAATGGTAAAACGAATACAAAAATTTAATAATATGTTTTTTTGCAGAATGATGATATATTTTCTGGGTCAGCTCCAAGATTTCCGGACTGTTTCCAGAATACTGTTTTGGTCTGGATTCCATGTGGGTTCCTGCTTCTGTGCTCACCATTCCAAATTGCTAGCTTATGTCACAATTATGTGGGTAATTCTCTACCTCTTGGGATCAGAAGTGTTATAAAAAGTGTGAGTAGAAATAAAATAAAATTAATTTATAAAATATGAAAATTTCAACTGAATATGAGAGAAAGAGAGAGAAAAAAATTCTGCATAATACCAAATTATCCCATGTTTCCCATTATCATTGATGCCCTGGCAAAGTCTAAAAAAGGGCTTTAGAAATTTCATACCAACAATTAACCCCAGTCAGTTTATTTTACTAAAGATCCCCTCCCGAAATCTTTAAAGCATCAGATATTAGATGTACTGAGTAATTCTAGCTTAGATATAATTGTATGTTTGCAGCTTTTCTAAGTCATAATTTAAATTAAACCTACGGTATTTAAATATTTTTGTATATGTCCTTCCTCTGTAAACAGGACAATTCTAAATTTTTGGCATTTTGAGATGTCCCCTCTGAAAACGAGACGGTAAAATTTTGTGATACTTACATATAATATGCAATATATTACATGTGTATAACTTTTTATCTATCAATGTTTGAGGAAAAAATTTATTGTAATATTTGAATAATTTGCTTTAAAGTGTGAAAATTCAACACTTTCGTATATAATCCTATAGTAAATATACCTGTATTTTGAGATTGTGCCTCAAAAATACAAGGACGGTTATATATGGTATAAAAAGAACTTAACAAAATAAAAACCGAGTTTTAATATTACACTAAACTTCATGCAATATTTATCAACATCTATTATTCGGGGATTGCTCGATTAAGTGAAAGTCGATATATGCATGTAATAAACCTTCACTTTGATTGGTACATAAAACATTTTATCCTATGAGTATTTTCTTGCAGCTCCTATGTATAGTTTTGGCTACCTTGACATGTGCAAACGTGGTTTTATCTTCAACACGTGGATACCACTGCGATTCTCACGCCTCAGTACCAGAAGAATACTACATAGGCGCCGGTGCTCTAATATTTGTGTTCGTAAGTAAAACATTTGTCTTACTGTAGAGAGATTTTACTAATAGGTGTTTAATATGCATAAAAATCTTAGATGATATATTATTCTCTTAAACTTTGATATCCTTTGTTGTAGATATATTTATCTGTAATCACGCAGGCACTACGTAAAAATCACGTGATCTCTTCCGGGATTTTGATCACGTTCTGGATTCTACTTCTAGGCTGTAGCTCTGTTCCATTGCAGTCAGCAATATCATATACGGTAATGATATAACAGGGCAATATCATACAGAGTAATGTTATGATACGGGGCAAAATCATATAGAATTATGTTATAATATACAAATAATTTCAAATTGCAGGGAAATATTATACATTATCATATTACAAAACGGGTCCATACTTTACAAAGAAACCTTATTACACAGGGCAATATCAAGCAGGGTAGTTTTATGATACAGGGCAATATCAAGCAGGGTAGTTTTATGATACAGGGCAATATCAAGTAGAATGATGTTAATATACAGGACAATATCATACAGAGTTATGATATGAAACAGTCAATATAATACAAAGAAAGCTTATAATACAGGGCAATATTATATAGGATAATGATATGATTTAGTGCATTATTATACAGTGTAATGTTGCAAAACAGGGCAATACCATAATTATTATATTGGATATTATTACAGAGATTGATAGTACGCAAAGCAATACTATTCAGAATTATATAGTCAAACAGCAAATATAGAATAGAATGAATAAAAGGACAATATTATATGAAAAAATAATACAGAGCAATGTACATGTCATACAATAATGTAATCTTAATCCATAGCATCATATGTTATGTAATAAACAGTTGATAATGATCTTTATGAGTATGATACCTATTGAATTACAGGTCAATATCATGTATAGTAAGTTCATGCTTTATGTGTATTAATCCCATTTTTCTATTACAGCCGAGTTGTGTCACCAGTGTTATTTTCTATATCTACTTTACATTCATCTGCATACAACTTGTACTGTATTCATTTGCTGACAAGCCTGATCATCCGAGTGATACATTCCTTGGGCAGGTAAACTCTATAGTTAAAGTCTTTCTTACTCGTACTGATAATAACAATATGTACTCTGACCTGAGATATAAACATTCTAAATTTTGGTTCTCCTGACAAGTAAACATTTAGTATACTATTTAGTCATACCGATAAACATTCTAAATACTTCTTCCCCTGACAGATTAACACACTAATACTCTTTTCCCTGTCAAATTAACACACTTATTACTCTATCTCCTGACAGGTAATTACACTAAAGATTCTTTATCCTGACATATTACAACACTGAATACTCTTTTCCCTGGCAGATTAACACTAAATATTCTTTTCCCTGGCAGATTAACACTAAATACTCTTTTCCCTGACAGATTAACACTAAATACTCTATTCCCTGGCAGATCTAGATTTACACTAAATACTCTTTTCCCTGGCAGATAAACACTAGTAAATATTCTTTCGTTCAACAGGTTAGAACACCATATATTCTTTACCAGAACAGATCAACATACTAAATACACTTTCCTCTGACAGGTTAACACGCTAAATATTTTTTCCCCGACAAGTTAACACACTAAATTATCACTGTAAATAAAACACAATCACTAAACTTAATCTTCGTCAAAACCAAAAAAGAAAATATATCAATAATGTTGTTAATTGCTAAATCTAATGCACTGGTCTGTTCGTAGTTCCTTGCGTTTTCTGAAAATCTTCTGACTTACTGGGTTACGATGAAGTTTACAAAAAATATTTAATCCAATCAACGATAAGCAAGAAATATTTAATCCAATCAACGTTAAGCAAGAAATATTTAATCCAATTGTAGACCATGTCGGTAATACTTGGGTTCATTTATTACATCAAGACACAATCAAGTCAATGGAAGTGTGACCTGTATATTAATTGATGGTAATAATATAAGAAAAAGCTGAAATAAAGTCATTATAATTAATAAACATTTACAAATCCTTACTGACTTTACTTTAATTACAAATATCATAAGAATATAGATAAGTTATAAATATATTTACCAGGCGCACTATATAAATCAGCTACGAATATTAAGGATGACTATTCCCGTCAAGGGTGTAGCGCCGAGTGTGCGTGAATATTGTTAGCCGCGGGAAAGTTAGTAAAAAGTTATTAATAGAAACTGGTCAAACCGGAAATGGTCAAATACGTCACCAAACAAACAAACACTCACACGTGGACATTCACACATGACAACACAAACGTAAACACACAGAATAGAAATAATTAAAACATTGAAACTGAAACATTTAATTACTTACACTGGTTACATATTCCCCCCTTTTATTAAATAGCTCCTGACATTCTCTGGAATTAAATATCAGGCAAATGTTTTAATTCAAAGTGCTAAATCAACTCAATATCTATATACAACAAATTCAATAATCCATCATATAAGCATTAAAATAAAATTAAACAAAATAAAATAATAAAACGCCATCTGAATCCATAAATACATCACCAAAACACAACTCACTGATACTGAACACCAAACCTGCCAAAAACCTTTGACACATAAGACCTCGACATTACTGTCCACGAATCATATCAACTGAACCAACCGATATCAAATGAATATGTTCAATTCAATCTCAGATTAAACATTAAATTTCATCAAGTATCAAATGATGATGGGGGTTCAGTAAGGTTACACTGTATAATTACAGTATCAATTGTTTATCTTTAAATAAACAACATGTATCAGTTAAATTCATTCATAGATTCATTTATTTAGAAAAATATTCACATAAATCATAAAAACAATAATAAAACACTATCTTCACTTAAGGAGTCTTTGAATTTACTGAATTCCTAATCACTTCACTTTCACTTAACTCCGAGTGTCTATATTTTTTTTCTTAACTTGTCCGTTCACCATATCTGTCTGGCTGCTTCTTAATTCTCGTTGACCGTCGTACGGGCAGAGCTCCCTGTGACACATCAGGTACACTCTCGGAAGCTGGACTTGGCTCATTTCCACTATGGCTCGAATCGTGAACCCCTGAGGACTGAAATGATAAAGAATAATTACAATTATTAAAATCATTGTCACTGAGACTAATACATGTACCTTGAAAACTAAAACCATCATCAACTACAGATGAAACATCTTGAATAGATGAGGGCTGTACATGTTTGTCTCCTGTTGATCTTGTCCTCAATACTCTTCTCACTGTCCACTCTTCCGGATCACTTTCGCACTCTGTTTCTGATGAATCAATTGTCGCTGCTGGCACCTGTCTATCTCCACTTTCTTTCTTTGTCTGTTTCTGTCTACTGTTCTGTTGTTTATACTGCCCCCCCCCTCTTGAAATCCAGTATAAGGAAGAGGAATATTCCTACGCAGAGTCCGGGTTCTGCCTAGTATACCCTCTGCTTTCACTCTGAACACAGGAACATCGGGATTTGGCATTTCCTTAACAGTGTATACAGTTTCCTCCCACTTGTCAGCTAACTTGTTCTTACCGTTTAGTCCAACATTCCTTACCAAAACTTTATCTCCAGGCTCTAACGTGGTCTCTCTTACTTTCATATCATACCTCTGTTTGTTCTTTAGACCTGACTTTCTTGCCTCTTCAGATGCTATTGCATAAGCTGCCTTCATCATCTTTTGTACTTTTTCCACATATCCCCTCGGATTAACATTGCCTTCATTTCCTGGATCAAGTCCAAGGAAAGAATCTATAGGCAATCAACGTTAATTTGCGTCCAACCTACAGATTCTAGAAAGAAATTGACAATTTTTAGGCATACGAGTTGTAATGGTATGTTTTAATGACACACTTTTCTTATATTTTCAGAAAGAAAATTCCCCAGAGGAGACAGCATCTGTCCTTAACAGATGGTTTTATTGGTGGTTTAATGGGTATGTTTTCATTGACGTCATAAATTAATTTTGAAGACTTTAGAGCATTATCTACAACTAGAAATGAAGATCAACTAAATATATGTGTTTATGAAAAGTGATGACTTCATTGGAATAATCTTGTGAATCATGTATAAAAAGGATAATTTCTCAAGATGTCTCGTTTTTATTATAAAGAAATGAATTTTTTAATTGGTTTTTAGCTTCTGTTAACCTGTTTTTATATACAAAAAAATTGATTTCATTTGTTTAGACTTGTGATGAAAGCATATAGACAAACTCTGGAAGTTGATGACCTCTGGAACCAGGTTGACTACCTGAGATCAGAGACGTGTGTCCCAGAACTAGAACAAAACTGGAAGGAGGAAGTTCACAAACAGGACACAAGGTTTGTTCCGTGTAGCTGGCACAGCAATAAAAAAATATTGACGTTAAGGGACTCCGACCCTCAGCCAGGAAGGACAACTCTTTAATTTTTAATTTGATTCAAAAAGTCAAAAAGTCAAAAATTTAGCTTGAAAATTAAATATTTTCATGCAACAATTTTCATTATATGCCTCTCAATGTGCTTCAAGGTTCTTTGCAAAGCTCCAGAAATCACTTCTAATTTCATATCATGTTAATAAACATTGATATCTAAAAATGCTTTTTCGGGATAAAAATTTCAATTTTTAATTAGACCTTTTTGAGAAGTTCAAAGAACCTTGAAGCACATTGAGCATATAATGAAAATTGTTGCATGGAAAGATTTAATTTTCAAGCTTCATTTACAGACTTTTTGAATTAAATTATAAATCAAAGAGTTGTCCTTCCTGGCTGAGGGTCGGAGTCCCTTAAGCTTGATTTCGTCATAAACAGAAATTTAAAACATAGAATTAGTTACCTATAGGTAAAAAGCATTATGTATGTGGTGACGAAATTACTATTTAGTTATTTACGTTTGGATTTATGATGCAATTATCCATTTTTTGTGTAAGCATGAGCAAATCATTTGGTCATCATTACGAACAAATGAAAACGGACAATTACTTTTGATCTGATCATCAAGTCATTATATAAAGTTACAAATTAGGATTTTTAAAATAAATAATCAGTTATTTCTTAACCAAACAGAACGAGCAAGCAGTTCTGTTCAATGATGAACATGCTTTATAAAGATATAAATTTTATTTCTTTATTTGTAGTTATGTATGGGACATAGGCTTTCGAAAATGTAAATATATGTAGAAAATCTAGGATACTGTAAAATCACATATTTTCGTGGGGTCAAATTTTCGTGTTTTGAGGAAATTCTCTTGGTTCTTTGGGATTTGATTTCGTGGATCAAGAATAAATGAGTACTGATGTATGTAACAATTTACATTTCGTGGTGGACATGAATTCGTGGGTCTCTTCATACCACGAAAACAACGAAAATTAAACCCCAACGAAAATTTGTGATTTCACAGTATTTAAAAGTATTTAGAGTGTTAATGTATGTTAATCAGTGAACATTCTTTTTCAGAATGCAACAGAAAAGATCATCCCATGATGGTTCTTTCACATATGAGTTAACATCTCTGATATTCAATCAAAAATCAGATATAGATGACGACAAGAAAAGCTCCAAGAATTTCCCCAAATCAAGACCTTCTTTGCTTAAAGTTGTTGTAAAAACCCATTGGAAGCAGTGGCTACTTTCGTCCTTCTATAAGATTTTATGTGACTTCTTGGCCTTGCTTCAACCGTTGATACTTAAGTGAGTGGTTGGCCGTTCAATTATTATCGTTTTATACATCTTAGAGGCGGCTCTACATTCATTGATTTTTGTAATGAATTTTATTTACATTTTTAAAAAATGCACATGATTTCAGTATACCTTTTGGAACAAATTTTCACAGAAATTGCATTTAAGCATAACAATGTTATGAAGAATTATAGTCATTTGTCACAGTGAGAGATTAAAACCTACATTAAACCAGCTTCCTTTTGCAGACTGATGATAGAATTCATTGGGAACAAACACACAAACCAGGCCTGGCCCCTGTGGAATGGCTGGGGACTAGCTATTTTGTTCTTCATCTGTGGGGCATTTGAAGCGTTGTTCTTCAGTCGGGGTGCATTCCATATGATGACCCTAGGGATGAAAGTGAGAGTAGCACTAATAGGAATGATATACCAAAAGGTATATACATATAACAAAATTTAAGAAATATTATTGTTCTTGTAACTAAACTTTTAAAAAGCATGAAAACTTTTTTTTTAAACTGCGATGTTATGCAATATAATTTTTATTGTTTTATTTTTAGATAATTTTTATTTTTTTTTAAGATTTAATATGAAATTTTTTTTCAATATTTCTAGTCATTGACAATGAGTAACGCGGCTAAAAGTCACTACACGATTGGTGACATTGTCAATTTGATGTCAGTGGACTGTCAGCGAATACAAGACGCCTTCATGTTCCAGTACCAGATTCTCTCCTTCTTCTTTATGATGGTACTGGGTTTATACCTTATTTGGAGTCAAATGGGCGTGGCTACTCTGGGAAGCGTTGCAGTGATCATTATCATATCGGCGCTTAATATACTTTTTGGAAAACTTCAACAGAAGTACCAAGGAATCATTCTAGCGCTTAAGTCTAGTCGGATAAAACTACTAAATGAGGTCTTAAGTGGAATAAAGGTAAGTTTCCTTCATTAAGCTTGCTTTCAAAGTTGTAGAATCAATGAACCTAGTAATTTTAAAATTGTCGAACACACGTCATACAATCCGAATGAATTAAAGTAGGATTAATAGACATAATTGTAGGAATAGTCAAAAAGAGAGAAAAAAAAGAGATATTGCCTCTCTGAGTGTAGCTTTTAAAAGTGAGGTACAAAGAATGAATCTTGAAGTTCATAACACTGCTGTTCCGCTCCTTTTTAAATAAGAATGTTACCCTTTTAAATTAGAACATTTTTATATTATATCATCTTCGAGTATAGTCTGTAAAGATACTCTATGAAGAAAGAGACTTCAATATTTGCATGATACTGATTAAATAAAGTAGTATACTTCACTGTAAAATCGCGGCTTTGCCATTACAGTCATGTAGGTCATTGTATTATTTACATTAGAAGGCAGGGTGTATATCAAGTGTGTTTTTAGTATGAATACATTACTGTGTGCTCGATGTGTTTTAAGTTAAATGATTATAGCTGAAACCTAAAAACTCTCTCTTTTTTAGTGCTAGAGACCGACCAAATAGAGGCATACATTTTTCTTTGAGAATCTTAGCTTTGTGTTTTTTTTTACTGCATAACTTACGAGTTGTGTTTGAAATAATTTAATAAAATATTGTCAAAGTATTTATATATCAAATATATATATGGAAATTGTAAACAAAAAGAATAACCAGGTTCCTTTTTTCACAATTTAAAGAAACCTTATTTTAAAGATAAATTATTACATTTATGTAAATAATTAGTATAATTAAAATTTATTTCTTAGAATGTATAATATATTATAATTTTGCACAATTCGAGTGCTACAACAAATACAGTTTAATTATGATATATCAAATTTCACTCCGAGTATAAAAATAAAATCGTAAGAAGATGAAACTCAAAGTTCAACGTAAGTATTATCGCTGCTGGATAAAGAACCATCAGAGTCAGTGTACTTTTAACAGTTCAGAGAGTGTTTAAAAAATCTTGTTGATTCTCGCAAAACAAAGTTTATATGATCCTCCATATTTCATTAATTGTCTAAAGCTACTCGTGTACATGTTGATTTTAACAAACTCTCATGTAAAATAGTAAGATAAAAAATAAATCACTTCAAAATATTTTTGACGCTTTTTTTCAATAGATTGATATTTGTTTCCTAATTTCTTTATCTTTAATCATATATGGATCGGACATATGTCCCCTCTATTCAAATTACAGGTGCATTTTGTGCACATTTAATCTATTCAACCACTGACTTTTCATTCGATAAACACTTTTTTAATGCACCATACTTCAAGTTCAATCCCTAAATAAGGTTTCTGCAATTGGAAGTGTAACGTTTTTTACCATGTACAAATAATTATCTATTGGGGTTCGCTTAGGTTTCCTTCCTAAGAATCACGTTTAGAATATAAAATCAAAACAAACTTTAATAGCAATGACAAACAACTGACTTAAATTCACTATATATATATATTTCCTTGGTTCTACCTGGATGATGATTAGTAAACTAAGTAACAACGAACTATAACGAAGGAATCACTTACAAACCAAATAATCAAATATAAAATTAACCTATCTCTGTAGCTGCAGACTGAGTGGTATAACCAACAATTCTGTTGTTTCCCGACACAGTCTACAACTACCCTAAAAACACACCCTAAAAAAATCACAAAGTCACAGATACATCTAAAGACACACAAACACTAGCTAATGTCACCAAGACACCATAGCTATCAACAGGACACGACTTTTGGTAAGATACAAGCTAAAGTCACCGAGACACCATAGCTAGTCACAAAGACACTATAGGGAACTGGGTCCCTGGGGTGAGTGGTCTAACTAACAATCTGTTGTTTCCCGACACAGCCCAGGTACCCCTTCCCAAGTCACCTAACTCCGACAAAGAGTTACACCAAAAGTAAACGAAACAAGAGTGATCCATGTATTTATACTATTTCTCCTATACCTAATTGCTACTCATTGGTTAATAAATTCTAATGATTTGGTTGGCTAAAATATCAACTCTGATTGGCTACACATAATATGATTTGATTGGGTGATTTAAAAACCTATTTCAATCCACTTAACTAATTCTGATTCATTACAAAAGTATGCATTTCTGCACTTGTAACAAACATTTTCTTCTCTAAAGATATGAAAAAATTGGTATTTTCTTAATAACGATCTATTAAACTTTTATTCTTCCAAGAGTCCATGAACGTTACATTGAAATACTTAGTTTAGATTTTAAAATTTTGTATTGATGAGACACAAACAGTAAATGCAAGCTTTATGCTTTTGATAATAAAAGGTAAATTTAAAATTCTTAATACATCTTGATCAAAAAAAAATTTACAAGAATAAATAGCCAATGGGAAAATAATTTGACCATCAAAAGCTCACAGAGACTAGACACGATATCGTATTCAATGGCATGGGTTGGCTCAAGGCATGATAGTGAATAGATCTGAGTTATGTGTACACATTGCTTTGTTATTTGTGAAGTCAAAGACGGGTTGGAATCTGTATGCAAAAGGTGTCTTTGTTATAGAGACAAGTACTCCTGATTTTGGAAAGTATCAACAAAGCGCATGACTGTTTCAATTTCTTTCATGAATGTAAACGACTAGTAAAGCTCTGTACATTAATCGTATATACTTAAACTTTAAAAATCCATCCACTCAAATAAAAAAAATGGTCTTGCAAAATGGAGGTGCCGAAAGTCGATGAAAAATCGATGTAAACAAAGTACCCTGCTATATTAAACAAATTTAGCGATTTGGCCTTGAGAATGGGTATTTTTATTTTAGCGTGAAGTAATTTTAGAGATATTCAAAAGCTCACTAGAGAAGCCATTACAAATACAATACAATTAATTTCTAGCAATATTCAATTTTAGCGATCGCGACACGCTCGCTAATAATGCCAAAATTAAATCCTGCTTATGCGGTACCTAATGACAGGTCATGGTAGTAAAAAATAAAAAAAAAATAAACTACAGTGTTTGATGGAAAGATTGAGGCAAAAATATGTGGAAAATCTTTACTCGTATTATTTGTAAATTTTCGATGGGCAAAATTTGGACATCTGAACGATTTATTCTTATTATCTATCATTATGTTGAAGTTAAGATGAAAATACTTTTGCTGTATTTCTAATTGCATATTATAGTCCTCTTAGTAAAAGAAAAATATTAACTTACCCGATATTTTTTTTGTGTCCTGATCACGGCACGAATTCTTCTTTAACTAAATATTTACATGTATGACTGGATCTTGCTTAAATAATAAAGTGAAATCTCTATGTAGGTTTTGAAGATGTACACGTGGGAGCCATCTTTTACAAAGAAACTATTGGATATACGTTTGCGTGAGATGGTTTTCTTTAAAAAGGTCTGTGTAGTCACAGCTTTCTCAACGCTTTTCTCTGTGCATAGTCCATTTATGGTAAGTTAACATAAATGGTATTTATTTTGTGTCTATATTTTGAATACTTTTATATCAAAATATGGAAAATAATACAAATTAAAGTGAAACGTAGACATATTAGAAGGACATATTCCAAAGATCTCTTCTCATTACTTTACTTGGCAAATCAAGAAACACAATTTCATAAATTAAACTTGTAAAAAGCTCTCTTATATTAAATTTGGAATGAAGTGAAATTACTGAATTGGAGTTTATCCTTCCATGATATTGAAAGTAAATTATATATCAGTTGTTAAAATATCATTCATTTAAAAAAAAAATCATCTAATTTTTATAAAAATTGTAAGAAATACGTCAAGCAGTCAATATTTTTCAGAGGATTAGCAATTATATTTCTTGATTACTTAGTTGAAAATTTTTGTTTATATAAATGTTGTTTTCTTTAATAAGCATGGGTATTCATTATGCATACATTTTCAGATGAGCTATCTTGTATTACTGATTTTTACCTCGATGTCAGGAAATTACTTGGATGCCAGTAAAGTGTTTGTTACGCTCGCCATCATCAACCCTATGCGCTTCATCATAACAATTGTTCCATTCGTCATCACTGGCGTCATACAGGTACAGTGTTCCCAGTATGATTGATTGTTGAACTTATAGTTAACACTTGTGGAATTTTAATTTGTTTCAATATTTGATTAAAATTGACTAAACAATTTTTATCATTCGCAGAGCTGTATGATTTAATGGAAATAAGTATTTATCCCAGCTTTTCATTTTTGTAACGTAGAGCAGAGCTCGGTGGTAATCTGGCTGATATCCAATCTAAGAATTTTATGCGACCGAATCTGTCAGTAGATGCATCCGCAAAAGTAAACAGAAAGAGCAATATTGCAGAAAATGTAATCAATGAATAATAATTTGATAATTAAATTGCATCAATTATATCTACCGTAAATTCTAGCACAAACTTCAAATCCCTTTTTTTGGCACACGAGAAAAACGTGATAGTGTTGCAGATGAATTAAAATAAAAATGCGACAGGAATTACAGTTCGGAAGTATAACTTGTGAAAGCAAAAACCTATTAGGTCGTAAGATAATCACATAATTACATTAATATGAAAACCAGAAGACAAAAAGAGATAAATTTCACCCTTCGATTTCAGGATTTCAAATTTATTACCAATTTAATAATAAAAGTCGATGTTAATGACCCTTTTTTTAGTGTAATTTTCCCTTACCCATTTCGTAGTATACTGTATACCACGCCCGATCGTAACTCGTAGACGTAATAAAGACATGGTTGTAGCTAGGTGCAATCATAAAAGCAAATCAAGTATATTCAGTTAGGATAATATTTTTTATATTTTTTAAATCCTTCGTTGTTTTCAAATGATTGAAAAAGATATGTTAAATTCTAAGGATATGATGAACATGTTTACTTTCAACGGTGTCTTATTAATCCGAACCCCATTCTATTCGGATCATGGCAAAAGGACTCAAAACCTGTAATTGTGACATTTTGTTAAAAATAACAACAAATTATATCAAATCGGAAAAAAATCTTTCCGGAATTGCTTTTTATGGACTTTTGAATACTGTTAGTTATCACCATGTCTATGGTGAACAGTATTTGAACGAAAAGAGATTACGAGTGAAAACCTCAAATGACAGAGAGAAATCATTTGAATTATGCTAAAAACTGCATAATATGGTAAATAGACCAACAAATGATTAAGGCTATGAAGCATTGGCTCTGTTTTTACAACAACAAAAAAATCCATTCATGATTTTTTTTCTTCCATTTAACAAAATTCATTTAGTAATTAACTGAAACACATAATCTATATAACTCTACTCTAGCCAGATGATGAAATAAACAAAAAACTTTAATTGTATAAAGCTTTCTGCAAAGCCAATAGTTATGAAGTTCTTACGCGTTTTTACCACCAGGAAGTTCTTGTATTAATACAGTCATAAACCATTATAATAATTATAATACCCAACGCCAATATCATATTCCTAGGGCCATGTCATTTTTTTAAATGTCACATATACTGTGCAGATGCTGGTGTCTTTGAAAAGAATAGAAGAATTCCTCTGCAAGGAGGACCTCAACCCAAACAACGTGTCCACCTCCTTAAACACAGGTATTATTAAACAATCGTGGCAAGGATACATTTTCTAAAAAAAAAAAAAGAGAGAATGGTGTTGTAACTTCGAAATATAAAGATTTAAAACATTGCTTTATAATTCTCTTGCATTTTCCTATTTGTTGATGACATTTTATGAAAGAAGGAATGACATTCTAGGCTTTTTAATACTGATTTTGAATAGAAATTGGATGGTATACAAATTATAATACGATTATCTTTTGCAGGATATGCTATTACTATAGAAAAAGGATATTTTACATGGGACAGAAGAAATCCAAGAACTACCTTACAGAGGTAAGATGCAGGATAAGCTATTTCTATAGATAACGTATATTTTAATTGGGACAGAGGACTATCTTAAACAGTGGTATGTATCCGTTCATGTTATCGACGTACATGTATAATGCTCCGAAGAATGAAAATGATTTTCAAAACAAGGAGTTGTTGGTGTATTACTTGTACGAAATAACCAACTTAAAAACTTGACTTTTCAACTTTATTAAACACAACCATTTCCCACGATAAATTAAAATCCAGGGTTTTTTTTATATCATTGACAGCTGCTTTTTCAATAAAAATGGAACTCGTAAATTTACGTTCCTGGTCATTAGTCATTTGCAAAATTATTTTCTTAAAGCATATTCTGACTACACACACAAGTACTCTCACGTTGACATCAAAAAATGCTTGGGTTTCTGATTGACAACATCTATGTGGTTTTTAGAGACCAGGTCTTCCAACAATCTATATAGATCCCCATGGGTACTAATTGCTCTCCGTTATAAGCAGACCTATTTTTGTAGTCATACGAAGTATAATTTGTGCAATGCCTAATACGTGAAAAGAAGAAAACAATTGCTGTGGTCGTCAACTCGACATTTAGATATCGATGAGGTACTGTCAATTAATAACGGTAATTTTCATTCCTACGTCGATACGATATATCCTGGTGAGCTTGAGCTAAAAGATGTTTCATACTTGGATATTGTCCTTGAAAGAGATTAATGGTAATCTAAAAACCAAGTTCTATGATAAACGTGATGACTTTCACTTTTTTAACGTCAACTTCCGCTACTTATGCAGCAATATATCTTCATCACCTGCATACGGAATTGATATATCTTATTTGATTCGATACGCAATGCTCTGAGTACAAACAAATTCTAAAACGGTTAAATTATTGACAAACAAGTTGATGAAACAAGAATATCAGCAGTTTCGATTGAAGTCATTAATTTGTAAGTTCTATGGTCGATACACTAACCTTGTCAGCAAAAACAATTTATGCTGACTAACGATTTTATAGTAATTGTTAGTCCATTATTTATACACTGAATTGACGACGGATTCTTCCGTTATTTCCCGACCATAACACGGAGCACACACGGCAGGTGTGACAGGTCGGCAAGTGTTGCTCACTCCTCCATGGCACCTGTTCCCACCTCTGATGTTTTGGAGGTCCGTGTTTGCTCTGCGTCTTTTATCTTGAATACTGTTCCTTATTTTCATATGTTTCATTGTACATAATGGTGTTTTATGTTCAAACAGAATTAACCTTGAGGTAGGAGAGGGCAAACTTGTTGCCGTGGTAGGGCAGGTTGGGGCAGGGAAATCGTCACTTATAGCCGCCATGTTGGGAGAGATGGAGAAGGTTAACGGTCACGTAAATGTACAGGTTTGTCTTAATTTGATAATTTGTTATGATAAAAAAAATCTTCGAATAATATCTAAAAACTGAAAACATATATATTGCAAGTTATGTATGCCACAATGTGTGTTTTTTTATTTTCAAAAAAAAAAATAAATGGTCAATTAAACCATAGACCTTTATGCAATAATATATAGGTTCCTTCATATACTACATCCGTTTTCTTTTTGTAAAAAATCAAATTGAAGTGAAGGCCAAAAATATTTAATTAAGGTCAGAAGACACGTTCCTCAAAAATATATAATTTTCCCCAAGAATTTGTTATTGAGGTCTAGGCGCTTAAACAAGTTTCCTCACAAAATATTAGGATACCTTACCGGGCATTTGGACAAGATACCACATGGTGATATTTCTTATATATCCCGTATGGGTAATCATCTGAATTACCAATATTTCAATTTTTGATATATTTTATTGAAAATCATGTTGAATGCAATGTAAAAATCACAAGAGAACTACAATATCCATATTTTTATTTAATACCAAGAGATACAAAATATATATTTGAGGAACCTGTCGTCTGACCTTAAGTTTAATAACATAAACTTTCACTTACTTTTAAAGGGGTCGGTCGCCTACGTACCACAACAAGCATGGATCCAAAACCGAACTGTGAAAGAAAACATTTTGTTTGGAAGTAAATTTTCAGAGAAGAAATACAAACGTATCATTCAAGCATGCGCACTGTTACCGGATCTGGCTATTCTCAATGCTGGCGATAACACTGAGATCGGAGAAAGGGTAAAACTAGAGCAAATATTATTATAACATGTATTTTCCAACTTGGAATATTACATTACTAAAAGATAAATTTTATCAAGTTTTTTCCTGAACATACATAATATTTCTCTATCTTCATCTACTATTGATACACTTAAGTAAAAAAAAGTTATATGTTTGAAATTGCTCCGCCCGGACATACCATTGCTTACAATAACATTACTAATTCATTTTAAAAAACTCATGATCTGCGGTGTATTCTACAGATAGAAAAGATGATGGTATCTGAATACTTTAAAATTCATTGATGTACTTAACCCGTTAATTTTATTGCATCAGTCCACGAACTTTTTATAACCCCTCATATATTTGTCTTTCCTTGTCTACTAATTTAAGGGTATCAACGTCAGTGGCGGCCAAAAGCAAAGAATAAGTTTAGCTCGAGCAGTCTACAGTAACTCTGATGTGTATCTTTTGGACGACCCTTTATCTGCTGTGGACAGCCATGTTGGAAAATCTCTTTTCAATGAGGTCATTGGTCCAGAGGGATTGTTACGTAATAAGGTGTCTTATTAGATATTTTGATTTATGTTATTGGATTCTCTGTTACATTATCATATCAGGGGTAAGTCTATTTGCCGAAAAGAGGAATGGAACCGCTTTGTCACCACATGAGACATTGTATGCTTTTGTTACAAATATTCTTGATATAAATAATTTGAGATGCCAATTAGTACACAACAGTTCTTTTAGTATTTCTTTCATCAGGTCAGGATAGCAGATTCAATATGACATTTTTTACCATATATGGAAATCGCAATGCAATGTCGATTTATTTTGTTTCACAAATATTCTTGATATAAAAGGTGCAAGCACCAGAGTTTAAATAAAAGATCAGACATTAAAGTATCAATTGTATGTGGCGATTTGAGATTCTACAATACGCTTTCAAAGTTGGCAATTCTTGCGCTTCATTTCTACTTAATATTTCTTGTTATTTTGTTTAATTTTTATGTTTTTTCCCTATCAGGACAAATAAAAAGCTCAAACAATACATAAATAAAATTACTTTCATATTTCTTTTAATTAAAGATTAGAGGAAAAGGAAACACAAAAGAAAACGTACTGTAAAGACAAAATACACTCTGCCTAATAATTTAAGCAAAGATAAAATAAATATTATTTAGAGAAAATAAGAAAAAAAAAATCCCACTTTTTAGCTGTGCAGCATCTAAACTTCCGCTAGATTAAACTACAGTATATATATTTCCACGGACAACGTAAAGCATTACACGGATAGACGCAATTGAATTTAAGTAAAAATTGCTGTAGATGGAGATTGATCCTAATTTATTTCAGGGAATATTTCAGTTTTATTAGATGTATACACACACAACAGGAAGACTAAACAACAAACCAAAGAAAAATTCATAATAATGAAACTGAATTTTCAAAAATATGTTTTTTAAAACTTTTATGCTGTTAACACATAATTATGGTAAAAATGAGGATTTTCTAAGATCTTTAACAAAGCTTTCAAATGAATAATTTATTGTTACCAAAATTTGTTAAAATGATTTAAATACATATTTAACCATCATCGTATGAAATTTAACCTTTTATTTGTTTTGGTTGAAAAATCAAAGTACGGTACATAAACTGGGACTTGAGATGCAAGAGTTGCTGTTATTTGTTTGGTTTATTGTTTTGTGTATTCAATTTCTTTGTAAAAATTCAAAATGTGAATGAAGAAAGTTAGTGAACATATCGGGATAGGAAAACCCCAGGATTTTCTAAGATATTGTTGTTTTAGCAATCTGTTCTCTGTCTTTCCTTGATTTTTTTGTGTACTCAATTTCTTTGTATTCAAAATGTGCAAAAAAAATCAAATTATATAATTATTTTTTCATATCTTTGTATAACAGACTCGTATTTTGGTCACACACGGGGTACACTGGCTACCGAAGGTAGACCTAATTGTAGTGATGGATGAAGGGACCATCTCAGAAGTAGGAACGTATGAAGAGTTGCTGCAGAAGAGAGGGGCTTTCTCAGAGTTTCTTGAAACTTACCTTCTCCATGGGGAAGAAGATACAGACTCAGATAGTAAGGGAATTCTGAATAAAAAAAGCATTGTCTTTCTAAGAGATTTATTGTTCGAAGTGTTCGTGGGTCACAGAAAAGGTCTTCGGCTGTTGGAGATTAGATGTCGAGTACATTAATTGATATAATATAAAAGGAATGATTCACATGCCACAATTTGAGATTTTAAAGCAAACGTTATGCTATTTTTTCCCAATAGTAGAACTCCAAATCTATTATTTTCCGCTATACCAGTACAAAACAAGTATTAAATCAAAGAACTATGCCCACAGTTATGATAAGCAAGAATATCTCTTCCAAAATCTTGAATTTCATGGCCCCAGGGTAAGGGGTTCTGGTGTTAAGGTGGGGCTCTATTGATTAAAAAAAATAATTTTTTATGTACTTTCAACTGGTAGAAGGAAACACCGATATGAAAAAGTGATAAGATTTAAATTTTTAATCATTAGGATTAAAAACCGGATTAATTAGGATTAATTCCTCTATGATACTATTTTTTAAAAATTAATTTGATGATAGTTTAAAAATATTTTTTAGTTGCTATTTAATTTTGTGGATACTTTTGCTCTTAAATTTACATGCTTTAGAAATAAAACATAGTTGCAAATTTCATCCTTGAAGAAATTTGGAAAGAAAATTTGTTCAATAATCTACAAAAAGAATTCCATACAAAATAAAAACTTAACAGTTTCTTATACACGCAAAACTAAATTTAACATTATTACTACACTGGTCTGTCTTTTTCAGGTGAAGATGAAATAGGTATTGCTGATAGACCATGTCTATATTATTGGTCTGTCTATATTATAGGCCTAATTCCATTGGTCTGTCTATATTATAGGCCTAATTCCACTGAAGATGAGATAGGTATTGCTGAAATCTGAAACATGTGTTTGTCTCTGTATTGCATATTACGAAAACCTATGCATTTTTTTTTTTTTTGGTTGACATTATGTTATTTTATTCTTACAATCTACATGTAAGTTACTATTATCTGATGTGACAAATATTCAATTTCTTCCTTCATTTTTTCAATGAATAAAGGCATATCTATATGAATTGCTCTGAACTTTAATTTTCAACTACCTTTTAATGAATACATAATATGTAAAAATCATTAATCTTTCCATCTATATTTTGAACTTTGTGAATATGTTTACGATGGCACGAAAAGTTTCCATTTTACCGTGGCTCTTTGAACTGCCTTTTATTCTGTTTTTCTCATTTTAAATCTTCCTGGTTTTTTTTCATTATTCTTTTATAAATAACTTATAATGAAAAAAGTGTTTCAATTGATATTGAGTAGTTATATGTCATAATCTTTCTATTTATTTCACTACACTTTCATTTTTAGCTCATCTGAGCTGAAGGCTCAATCGAGCTTTTCTGACAAAACTTTGTTCGTTGTCTGTCGTCGTTGTCGTAAACTTTTCACATTTTCATCTCAAGAACCACGGGGCCAATTTCAACCAAACTTGCTACAAAGTATTCTTTGGAGAAGGGGACTCTAGTTTGATCAAATGAAGAGTTAATCCCTTTTTTCAAGGGGAGATAATTTTGATTTAATAAAAAATTTATGGCATCTTTTAAAAATCTTCTCAAGAATCATAAGGCCAGTAAAAATGAAACTCATGTGGAAGGTAGTGTAGATTCAAGTTTGTTCAAATCATGACCCCGGGTAGCGGGACCACAAAGGCTTATCAAAGTTTAACATAGGAAAATCTTTTAAAAATCTTCTCCAGAACCCTTTGGCCAGGAAAATGAAACTCATGTGGAAGCATCCTCAAGGGGGGGGGGGGGGTTAGTGAGGGGTTACATTGGCAGATCAAGTTATATGTTGAAAAAATTCTTTGGCAAAGTTATACATGCATGCTTTATTGATAAAGTGACATTTTCAAGTAATATCAAATTCAAATCCCCCCTCCAGCAACAAGTGAACTTTTTAATACTGAGCTGATTTTTGTTTTTAACTAGCCCATATGCTCATGTGAGCATTGTGGCGCGTGGGCCTCTTGTTAATGTTTCTAAAATATCTTATTTTTATACTTTTAGTTATAGTCATCATGTGGTTTTCCTGTTTATATTTTACATGTATTACATTTTATCAGATTTCTCTTTTAGTTACAAATATAAGAGGTCAATTTTTTTACAAGTATTTTAATTCAATTTTCTCTATTCGTTTGTAGCATTAGTTGGCCACTTTTTATCGAACCTTTTTTTTTTATTTTTTAGTTGCTAAGATTAAGGATGAGATGCGGGGACAGCTGGAGTGTGTGTCCGACTTTGGTTTGTCCGAGGACGATTCTGACCGCTCTAGACGTCCAAGTACTAGGTATTATGCATTGAGTTCAGTGTATTCGTTTATGTTTCTTCCTTTACTTTTTTTTTTATTAAAACAAATGTTTTTCTTTTGATAGATGCTTTTTTGTTTAAAATATTTGAATTTAAATTAAGAAAGGCCTAAAACATTTAAGATCTATATCCGAATGAAACATATAGAGATAACACACAGAATTCAAGATCAAAAATCCCTAAAATAATTTAAAACAGGAGCAGAGCAAACACGGACCTCCAAAACACTAGAGGTGAGATCAGATTCCATGGAGAAGTAAACATCCCCTGCCGACCGGTCACTCCCGCCGTGTGTTCCTTGACATGATCGGGAAATAACTAAAATATCCATCGTCAATTCAGTGTAAAAATAATAGACTATCAATTAGTATGATAAACGTCAGTCAGCATTTGAATTGTTTTTGCTGATAAGGTCGTTGTTTCGACCATAGAACTTACAAAGTGATGACTTTAAACGAAACTGCTTCATCAACTTGTTTGGCAATAATTTGCCTCGTTTTAGAAATTGTTCATACGTAGAGCTTGCTCTAGCGTATCGAATCAACTCAGATACATAAACTCCATATGCAGGTTACTAGTGTATTATCAAATATTGTTGCATTGATAAACTTCTGTTGGCTGAGAAGACATCCATACATAGAAACATACGTTTTGGATTTTTCATATGGATGAAAAGTGGATAAATTAATATAAATTAGACTTTTCTTGTTTGGTGGACATATATCTTAGGTTTTCTTTTTCCTCAAGAACAATAAATCTTAACTTCCAAGGAAAATAGAAAAGGAAAATTAAATTTGACGTAAATAGTCTTAATTTGCAACTTGGCAATCAGCGAATAAATCTGGGTTTACTTCATAAAACATATTGATTTAATTTACTAATTTTCATATCATTTTAATATTTAATAATTTCCTGTTGGTGAATTTCAAGTACAAGTTGGGGGTGGGGGTGGGGTGGGGGACCGCTATGTATTTTTAGTGGAGGGCACTATCAACTACGTAAAATTACTGGACAACCAGAAGAAAGATCATTAGCCCTTTTTTAATTGGCTCAAGCAAATGGAAGTTATGTTCTTATCATATACTATTGATCGGCAAAATTATTGGGTGGGCACTATACCACCCGTCCCCCGTTCCTATGGCCACGCAGGTTTAAATCCGAAGTGCTTGGTTAGCAATTACAAGAAAAGACTATATCTAGATATGAAGAAAATTTGTTAATGTCATTGGTATTTTTTTTTCAGGAAAGCATCTCTGCAAAGAAATTCTCGATTTTCAATTCCGACAGAAATCAAACGTGGACTCTCACAATTAAATGCCATAGTAGAAAAAAGTCTTAATTTAATGACGTCAGTGAACAATGCCGAGTCACAGCGACGCTTTTCGAGTTGGAACTCGAAGAGGCGCTTTTCCAGAGAGGACGAAATGAACCCGCTTGAAATACTCCAGAGGTCGTTATCACAGGGGCGGATCCTACCATACGATAGTGGCGGAGAGTCCGAACCAGAAGATGGAAAACTGATCCAAGACGAAAAATCGGCGGAGGGGACGGTATGGACTCAAATGATAAATAGACTTGCTAAATTCTTATATTGCTAAGATATTTTTTCAAACAAGAGGCCCATGGGCCACATCGCTCACTTGAGCACTGTAGCTTGAAAAAAAAGCAGAAATCAGTTTGTTATTGAAAAGTTTAAAACCAAAAGTGGTCCCAACCAATCCTTTAAGGGGAGAGGGTATGATTTGAACAAACTTAAACCTACACTAACTAAGGATGCTTACATATTTCCTTGACTACCTTTGTTTTTATAGCCCTTTACATTTGAACTTAGTTTGTGGCCCCGCCCTACCCCCAGGGGTCATGACTTGAACAAGCTTGAATCTACACTACATGAGAATGCTTCCATATGAATATGACTATGAATATGAATTTGAAAAGAAGAATTTTAAAGACT